GGTGGGGAAGGAAGGGAAGGACTCCAGCAATGGAGGGAGAGCTGAGAATGAACCAAGGGGACAGGAAGAGTGAGGTTGTGGAGTGCACACCTCTCCAAGGGGAAGGTGAGACCCTGCTTGACCACTAACCAGCAAACACCCATTACTACCCCCTCAGAGTCCCCTCAACCCCTCCCTGAAGGAGTGGGCATGACACCCTTCCCTCCACACGCATACCCCTGCCCCCTTCCAACACGCACATCCACAAATACAAAGAGAGTTTACGACATAGCCTAGCACTGCGAAGGCCTCTATAGAAGAACTAGAATTTTCCAAATGAAGAATTTGGATGCTTTGGTGCCTCGGGCCATCCTTGAGGGGGATATTTAGGTGGCACCTGGACCCAGCCCGAAATGCCACTAAATCATGAAATTCTGGAGTTATTTAGTTTTCAATTCTCCTTCAGTCCCTTTCTTTACATCAAAGAGAAAGCCTCTGTTGGAGCAAATAGGCCTTAAACACCTCTTAAGCATTTGTCAAAAAGACAGGGAGGGCAGCTGGTTAGCTCAGTTGGTTAGAGCGCAGTGCTCACAACACCAAGGTTGCCGATTCGATCCCCACATGTGCCACTGAGTTGCACCCTCCACAACTAGATTGAAACAACTACTTGATTTGGAGCTGATAGTTCCTGGAAAAACACACTGTTCCCCAGTAAAAAGAAAAAAGGGGGAGGGGAGCCTTAAACCAACAGAGTCAAGTGAGAATTTGGGGATGCAGTTGGCTTTTCCTTATATTTCTTCTGGTGTTCTAATTTTTGGTGTGATACTAGTTGTCCATTTACAATTAAAATTTATTTTAATGAAAAAGTGAGTCAATCTAAAGTCACGCCTTACCTGCATAATCATAGAGGAGGCCGGAAGGCGGTGTGCTAATAGTGCTGTCATTGATGGCCAAAAGTGAGCCCAGAAGGGTGAGCCTACCCAAGGGCACCCAAGGTCAAAAGCAGCTGAGCTGCCAGCCAAGCCAAGGGCACCTCGCAGACTTCCCAGGGCCAGCCCTTTTCAGCCTTGGTTTCATTTTGGAATGCTCAGCCTGGCCAGCACTTTAAACATGGCAGGAATCCTGGGCTTGCTGGCCAGTCACTCTACCAATTCCCAGCTGTGTGGCCTGGGGCAAGTTGCCCCATTCCTCTGGGCCTCAGTTTCTCCATCTGTGAATGCAGATTAGAAATCCCAGTGGGGAGGCGGTGTTGGGGCCACTAACTGAGCAGGGTGATGTGGTAACAAGAAGCCTACAGACCACATCCTCTCCTTCCCAGCACTGTGACCTTCGTGAGGCTGCCTCACCTCTCTGGAAAATGGGGCTGGGGTTGCTGTGAAGGTTCAAGGGGAGAAAATCATGTGTGTGTTGCAGTGGGAGGGAGAGATAAACCTGGGTAGGTAGGTCAGGGTGACACTGCATAGACTTTTTCTTCCCAGGATTAGAGAGACCTCGTGGCTGCTGGCCAGCAAGTGAGATATGACCCCTCGCGTAAGGGAACATGGATTTTTTTTTTCCTACACCCAAATCAGCCTCTCCTTGGGGGTTGGCAGGATCCCAAGGGGTGTAATTCCAGCCAGGAAGCTGGGGAGCCCAGAGCCAACCCAGGACCGTGATTTTGCCTCTTTCTGGCCGCCCCAGTGGCTCTCCTGGCGTTTCTGACCTTGAAAGGAGTTTTGTTCTCCAGATAATGTGCTCAATGTCACCTGGGAAAATCACGCCGACCGTCCAGGTGCCCAGAAAGCTAAATGAGGCATTTTAACCCGAAACCACATCCGGCTAGGCTCCAATTAGCTGGAATCCAGCTAAGGGGAAGCTTGCAAGGAACTGAATATTTTCTCCTCCAACTCAGCATTTAACTGTTAATGCCAGTTGACAATTCTTGAGCACTCAGCAGGCCCCATGCTAAACACCGGCAGTGCCTTGTTTCATTTAAGCCGCATGGCTGCTGGATGGTAAACACTGTTATCATCGTTTTCATTTAATGATGGCAGAATGAAGGCTAATTTTACACCTGCCGAAGTGAGTGGTGGACCAGGAGCTTAAACTCAGAGAATCAGGCTCCCGACTCTGGGCCCTATGCCCAAAGTGATATTAAGGGGTTAGTTTAACCGTCAAATACTTTTATGTGTTCAGCCCTGTGTGACCCTTATAGATACAGTGGTGAATAGAAAACAGTCCCTGCCCTCAAGGACTTGAGAGTTCTGTGGGCAAGACAGGCAAACAGGGTAGAACAACATGGTCCATCCAGCCATCTATCCATTCAATAAATATTTATTGAGTATCTACTATGTTCCAGGAACTGTTCTAGGTACTGGGAATTTAGCAGCGAGGAAAACAGATGAAAGTGCTGTCCTCGCGGACCTTACACTCTAGTGGAAGAGAGAGACAGTAAGGAAATAAGTCCATAAATAAGATGCCAGATGTTAAGGGCTAGAGAGAAAAACGAAGCAGGGAAGGGGGATGGTGAGTGATTGGGGGATGGGCATGGAAAGCGCCAATGGTGACCTTTGAGCAAGAGCTGAGGGAGGCAGTCATGTGGATTTGTGGGAGGAGGGATATTCCAGGCAGAGGGAGGGCAGGTGCAAAGGCCCTGAGGTGAGCATGTGTTTGGCACGTGAGGAAACAAACAGGCCCAGGTGACTGGGAGGAATGAGGAAGGGGTGAGTGGAAGGCCTGGTAGGTAGGCAATGAAGGTCTCTGACGTTTGATTTCCGCGTGAGATGGGGAGTCTGTGGATGGTCTTGAGCAAGGGTGTGACATGACTTTCTCTTGTATTTGAAAAAGATCACTCTGGCTGCTGGGTGGAGAATGGGCGGAAGGGAGACCAAGGGGGAAGCAATCAGGAGGCACCTTCAGTCAGTCAGGTGAGAGACAGTGCTGGATGGGATGGAGGGCAGAGAGAGAGGGCAGTGGCAAGGAGTGGATGGATTCTGGATCTATGTTGAAGGTCAAAGGTCAAGCCAATTGGATTTGCTGATGGAGTGGACTTGGAGTGTGAGAGACCATGAGGAGGCAACGGCGCCTCCAGGGCTTTTGACCTTGGCATTTGCGATGGGGGAACTGTCATTACTGAGATGGGGAAGCTGTGGGTGCAGGCTTGCTAGGAGAGGGGCAGGTATCTGTTTTATTTATTTATTTATTTATTTATTTATTTCAGCTGAGCCATCCTGCTACCTATTGGCAGCTCAGCGGCAGCTCAGGTTGGGCCAGGCATCAAACCGCTGTTGCTCAGAGCTCAAACTCTTGAGCGAGCTCTTAACCAACTGAGCCACTCAGCCGGCAGAGGGGCAGGTATCCGAATATCTGAATGTGTCATAGCCTAAGTGAAGTTTGAGATGTGTATTTCACCAACCCATCAGTTAACAGGTGCGTAAAGGCACAGCTCCACACCAAGAGAAAGCCCAGAGCAAGCCCAGAGGAGGGGTGCCTGATCCAACCTGAGGGCCAGGTGGTATCCAGGCTGAGATCTGAAGATGGGCACGTCGGGCCTGGGGAGGACTTTGACTTGCATCCCTTGTCTTCGTCTCCATTGGCACAGCCAGGTAAGCTGGCTTTCTGGTTTTATTTCAGGCTCTGTAACAAGTTGGCATGTGAGCCGAGCCAAATTATGTAATGTAATGGCTCTAGGCCTCAATTTCACCATTGCAAGGGAATGAATGTTTGTGTCTCCCCCAAAATTCATATGTTGAAATCCTACCCCTCAAGGTGATAGTATTAGGAGGTGGGGCCTTTGGGAGGTAATGAAGTCATGAGGGTGGAGCCCCCATGAATGGGATCGGTGCCCTTATGAAAGAGACCCCGGAGAGCTCCCTCTCCCCTTCTGCCACGTGACGACACAGCGAGAAAATGGCCATGTACGAACCAGGAAGTGGGCTCTCACCAGACACTAAATCTGCCTCCATCTTGATCTTAGATTCCCCAGCCTCTGGGACTGACATAAATTTCTGTTGTTTATAAGCCACTCGGCCTATGGTACTTTGTTAATAGCAGCCTGAACAGCATAAGACACGCATCTGCAAAGGGATGGCCATGTCTACACCAGTGGGACTAACCTTTTGGAGGTGACAGAGTCCTTTGACAATATGATTTAAAACTATGGCTCCATTTCCCCATGCAGGCTTGCGTACACACACACACACACACACACACACACACACGTATGTAATTTCAGAGCCTCTTGGACCCCCGAAACCCATTATGGCCCCTGGTTAATACTTTTCTCTCTCCCCGCTCCTAACCTCAGATCAATCTTCCTTCCAGACTTACCACGCTTCAGGTCAAGACCCTCTAATGTGGCCTCTTCTGCTCAGGCTCCGGTGTTAGACATAAGCCTGTGACCTTGTAAGATGTCTTGTTCTCTTTGAAGGAAACCTTCAAGTTGGCAAACAAAGCCCAGGTGTGTGATAAGCTGGTCTGCGGGTGTGTGTGTGTGTGTGTGTGTGTGTGTGTGTGTGTGTGTGTGTGTGTGTGTGTGTGTGCGCGCGCGCATGCGCGCCTTCCCAGTTCCATAAGTCAACAGCCTTTCACTCCGGGCTGCTAGGTGGGTTGGGCAAAGAGGGAAAAGCCAGCCCCAAATCAAGATGGGGTGAGGGTTTGGTGTTTCCTGGGTAGGAGAAGGCATCAATAGGGATTAACCGACCTACAATGAAACATCAGGTGTTGACATTCTGGCCACTGTGCTCTCTGCCTTTCTCTCTTGGTAATTCTAGTCCTAGGAACAGATTTACACAATTCTCTGGGACCCAAGGATCTTCCCTGCAGGCTATGAACTGGCAGAAAGTTATGGGCACTGGATCTATAAAAGCTTTATTCCCAGCATCCAGCATAAGACTTGGCACAGAGTAGGTATCTGTCTGGGCTTTTGCTGCGTGTGCTGGAAGTACAACTCCAACTGGCTCAAGGAGAAATGAGCCATGTGATTGGCTTACATAACTGAAAATTCTATGGTACAGCTGTAAGCACAGCTGGAGCCAGGTGAACACGTGGTGTCTTCAGGACCTCTCTCTCTATCTCCATCTCTCAGTTGTTTTCTGCTGGGTTGGTTTGACTCGCAGGCACATTTTCTCTCACAGTGTTGGCTGTTGGTGGCTCCAGGCTGAACTTCTGATGCTTAGCAACCCCAGAGGGGAAACAATAAAGCTCTTCTTTGCACCTAGTTGCGGCAAATGTGATGAATTTTCATTGGACAAAGTTGGGTCATGTGCCCCCATGAGCCAATCATTGTGGCCAGAGAAATGGCATGTTCTGATTGGCCAGACCTGCGTCCTAGCTCCTGTGCTCTAGGATTGGGAGTTGAGGATTGGAGATTGGGGGTAGGGTAGGGATGTCACAAGGTTCACCTCACTGGAACTACATAGAGTGAAGGTAGGGGATGGGGTGGTTTCTAGGATGAAAATTGAGGGACTGTTACCAGAAGATGGGGGATGGATGCTGAGCTGGGAAAAAAAAGAGGTGTCACTATAATGCTATAAATGCTGGCATGACAAAAGAACACATACCAGTTGGGTGCTGTTGGAATCAGGAGGGTTCGATCAAGTCCCAGCTCTGCCACCTACACTCAGTGTGACTTTGGCGAGGGCATCGCTGCCTCTCTGGGCCACAGTGTCTCCCTCTGTAAAATGAAGGCGTCTGGAATGGATGATTGCCAGAGTTTTCTTTCCTGTTCATTCAATCATTCATTTTTTTTCTTTCAATCAGTATTCGTTGAGGGCATTGGAGTTAGTCTGAACTGGATGAGAATCCCAGTTCTGATGTTTACTAGCTTTATCAGGCTTGGCTGATGCACCTTCTCAGGTGTGCTCAGCTCCGTCCTTCCCCGGCCACCCAGCGGCACTGGACGCCATCCAGCCTCTGCTCGCCTTCCCCTGCAGGCAGCCTGGGTCAGTTGCTGCAGTCACTTGGCCAGCTCAGCCTGCAGTGACATGGCCTGAGTTGTGGCCCAGTCTTCCAATATCCCCAGCTGTCGTCCAAGTCAGCCTGACCTGACCCTTGGCAGGGGAGGGAGGGCCTCTGATGCCTCCTTTTCCAGACTCAGGTGAAACTGTGTGGAGCTGCCTCCTCTCATAGTTGCCTGGAGGCGGAGGTAACTCAACCCAGAAGTGAGCGGTTGGGCCCAACTGTGAGTAATAGCAGACAGGAGACGGGATGTGCCAGCAGATGAAGTTGTTGCCCTTCATCCCTGCAGTGTTGTGGCTTCTGCAGAGATGCCCTGAGTGATGGAACTCCCAGCAATGTTTTTTTTTTTTTTGGAGATGCTGTGGCCAACCCAGTAGGGCATGTGTTGTATATGTTCTCTCTCCTTCCCTGCCTCCTAGTCCTTTTTCTTTTCCTTCACTTTTGTTGGGCCCCAAGAAAACATTAACATGGAAGTTTTGCCTTGGGCTCTGTTTTCCAGGGAACCTAGCCTGAGAGCTGTGTGGCCTTGGGCAATTTACTTAATCTCTCTAAGCTTCAGATCTCTCCTATGTAAAAAGGAGATAATAATAGAGCATCTCTTATAGGATTGTTGTGGCATTTAATAAGACAGCACAGACAAGGTACTTGGCTCAATAAATGGTATCTTTCATTAGTACCACTACTGTGAACCAGGCGCTAAACTGTATCATGTGAAAACATGTATTCAACGTTGAATTCCATGGATATTTATTGAGTGTTAACTCTGTTTCAGGTTCTGTGCTACTCTCTGCTCCCAAGGAGCTCACAGTCTAGAAAGTGAGTCAGAGAAGTAATTGGACAATTATACTACAGAGTTGTCAGTGCTTTAGAGGTGGGTAGAAGACTCAGAGGCCGCAGCATGGTGGTCAGGAATGTAGTCAGGGGTGGCTTCTCAGGGGAGTTGACCTTACAGCTAAGATCTGTAGTTGTTACAGATGATGGGTAGGTGGCGGGCAAAGTGTTAAGACAGAGAGCACGGTATGGGAAAAGACCTGCTACTGAGGGAAACCATTTCGAAGATCATATTGGCTTTCACCATTAAGAAGCAGGTAACTTATAGAGAAACAAAATGGATAAATATGCACTGACCAAAATGCACACGTATGGCCTTTGCCAAAGGAGCATGTGGGTCCTAGAGTTATCCTGTCCAATGTGGTAGCCATAGCACATATGGCTATTTAGATTTACATTGATTAAAATTAAATTTACAGTTCAATTCCTCAGTCACACTGGCCACATTTCAAATGCTCCATAGTCATCTATGGCTAATGTTACAGTGCAGATATAAAACACCTCCATCATTGCAGAAAGTTCTATTAGACAGAGCTGCCAGAGAGTCTGAGAACAGGCAGCAAAATCAGGACAGACTTCTTGGAGGAGGGGGCAGAAGATGGCAGAGAAAGGGTTTTGGGAAAGTCCCTGGATGGCAGTGTCCTCTCTCCTTAAGAAGAGAAAAGCCAAGGCTAGGAGTGGAGGTGGGATTTGGCTCTGGAAACAGTGTACAACCTGACACCTCTTTGGTCAGGGTATAATCTGGGTATGCTCTGGCTGGCAGCCTGTCACCTGGGAGGGACAACACAGGAATGCAGGGGAAACCAGCTAAGGTGGGGCTGAACTAGGAAGCTCCACCTCTTCTGGGGCCAGGAGGATTCTGGGAGTTGTAGTTTGGCAGCCCTCAAAGCTTGACCAGGGTAGAAGAGTTGAAACTGGGCCTGGGATGGGCATCTTTGGGGACGTAGAGTTGCAGGGCTGGGGGCTGGTCAGATCCGGGGACATACCTGGGTTTGGGGTTTCTGCAGGGAATGGAAGAAGGAGGGCTATCTTCTCCCCTTCCATGTTTAAATTCTGGGGTAGAGAGGAGGTGCCAAGGTGAAGGACTAAGTTGGATGCGGAGCTGAGAGACATGGAACATTCAGTTAAACAGAACTGTCAGACCACACACATTCTGATTGATCGAGATTTGCCCAGGGGAGACAGAAAGTTCCCATAAGGTTGCAGAGGAGAGGTAGCAGATGGTACTCTATCAGCTTTTGGTCATTCATGCATTTAACCAGGTATTTTTTGAGTTCAATATTTATTGAGTGCTTACTATGTGCCAAGCCCTGCTCTAGGCACTGGGAATCCAGGAGCTCTACAGAGGGCAGCAAACAATACACAATGATCTCCCTTTGCTTGAATAATATGTCTTGGAAGAGCCTGGCTTAAAGGTGGACTTTGAGGGATTCTAACTTTTCAATCCCCCCATTCTCTGTCTCCTATCACACAGACTTCCTGGAAGTGGAAGTCGTATTCAAACGCCACGGAGTTGGATCCTATTGATGACCATGCTCAGGACATCCAGATGAGAAAGGACAATCTCCTACGACGTAAATCCTCATGGGGCCTCAAGCTCACCATTTCTGGGTTC